TCCGTCTTCCGTATCAGGAGAGTATGAGACACCGAGCTCATACTCTGTGAAGACATGAGTGTCTTCATGACCAGCGCCTGTATCACCAAGTGACACAGGCTGAGTCGCTTCAGCAACCGATGAGGCATCAGTTGCTGTGGTTTCTGCTTCGGCGTCCGCACAGAGACGTGCGGACGCGCTCTCGGCGGCCTTGCTTGCGCATCGCATGGGCTTGTTAACCATGCGTTGAAATGTTAGAAAGTGGACTCGGACCAACAAGTGCAAACCCTGTCCCAAATGATTTGGGACGAGTATCCATTTAGTCAATCAGTCACTAAAGTGACCGATGGTTAAGGAGGGGTGGATGTAACGGGGTGAATCGTTACATAACAATTTATAAGAAATTGTTAATAGAATATAACTATAAGAGTTATATTCTCAGAATATTATCATAAGGACAAATATTCTGTAGCACTTACGAGTAGTTCCTAATTGGTTGATATAGGCCATTATATCAACCAGCGAAGACGCGCCACGACAGACGCACGCAATGAGTGGTGAGCAGATAACTGATTTACACATTTGTATTTAGACATAGTTAGATGAAGATAAATAGTGATTTATTGCAGACATTAACTATACTAAATACAGTTCTACTTTTTACTTTAACCAAGTACTCGCTTCTTCTTCCTGTCTTCCTCTGCACGTACGAGTGGACGTGAAGTTACGAGGCACCGCCTTATTCTGTCATCAGAATAAGTAGCTTGTACTGTCACCAGTACAAGCTTCAGGGTGCCCCGTTACACCCTGGAATTAAATTACGTGGACGAAGCTCAACAAGACAATGACCCACTTGCCGATAGTATTGGGATGCAGGAGTAGTATATTGACACTGCATCCAATACTCATGTGGTAGGAGACAAGCGGTACTTTATTCGATATTGGGAGCTCTCTCGCGATGAAGCAACTGTGCGTGGAGTTGCACCCAGCTTTCAGGGACAACCAGTCGGAGTTGGAACGATCTTACTTGAATCATCTGTTGCTGGAAAGACCGTACTCACGGTTATTGACGACGTACTACTCGTTGTTGGCGCAAGAAATCCGCTGTTGTCGATGGAGCGTGCGCTTGACGATGGATTAAAATTTGAATGGGACTCCAATGCGCACCGATTTTACCATACAGAAAAGTGGTGAAACGGTGGCACCAGCCGACAAAGTCGGAGCAGTATGGGTATTCGAGGGACAAGTTGTATAAGGTAAACAGACCAAGCCACATCCAGAAACGCGCGTATTAAACTTTACGGCTCGAGATGGTGTTGGAGATCTGCAATGATAGCACAAGCGTTTGGGCCACATATGCCCTCATTACATCAAGTTGATGGTTGACCGAAAGCTTGTTGACGGAATGATGCTATCCGGACATGACGTAAGGGATTGCGAGACGTGTCACTTGGCAAAGCAAGTGCGGAAGACGTTATAAAAGAAGCTTGACCGACGCACTGTGGAGCCAAATGAGCTTGTATATGCAGCTTTGTTGGTGCAGGCGTAAATAGCGACACTCAAATTGGTGCAGTTTTGGTGATCATATAGGCTTACTGCAAGTTCGTTACAGCTTACATGCTGCGAACAAAAGCAGCAGATGCAATAGCCGCAACGCTGAAACAATACATTGCTTGAACGAAAAGCTCGTCGCCATGCAACCGAAGAAAGTGACGCAGCGCAAATTGCATATCCTGTTCGCCAGTTGCTGACGGATAAAGGTGGAGAATTTGCTAGTACCGAGTTTACACTGTGGCTGAAAATTTGAGGTATCGAGCTGTACAGGTTGGACCTTCCAGCTCGCAGCAAAACCCCTGCAAACGTGTGCACAGAACGCTGATGGAGATGACGCGTTCAATGTTGGAGCGCTCAGGATTGCCTCAGATTTTTTTAAACCGATGCATTTCAATACTCGATTTTTATCAAGAACCGGAAATTTAATCGAGGATGTAACAGCAGACCTTACGAAAAGATGTTTAGCATGCGGCCAGACATTCATCTTCTTCGCACGTTTGGATCTCTAGCGTATGCTCACGTTGGAGCCGACGCACGGCGTCGCAAGCTTAATCGTCACGCCAAGATCGGATATGTTCTGGGATACACGGCCGATGTATTGGGTTGTAAGCTCTAATTTCCGGATGATCGTACGCGAAAATTTGTACCAGACATTTGCGTAAATGAGCACGATCTTTTTCGCGACCACCACACCATCACGGCCACACTCTCGGACGCCAACAGCGATGTAAATGCAAGTATCGAAAAGGGCGATTATGTTGCAGAAACCGTAGCCACGGACAGCATTATTAAAGATGACAAACTTAATGTTGAGAAAAGCATTATTGACGACGACGACAGCTTAACCGATGCACAAGACGCGGATGAACAAGACAGCGTTTGGACACGGCCGGTCGGTTATCGTGGCGCAGTTGACTCTGTCCATCGAGATGTGGATGACTTTGGGGCTCGTGCATCAGAATGTAGGATCAGTAACATGGCTGAACCTGATGGCGACTCGATGGAAGAAGATGACACTTGCGTAAGTGGCCAATTTGAGAAGGATTTACAAGGTGGTATGAGCCATACCAGCTCACACACCAGCTCAATTGACGGCTAACAAGGCTCGGTTGAGTATGATGCAGAAATTGACATGAAAAATGTTGGTAGCGCGGCAGAACTATCAGTTCAAGTGGAGCCTACGATACGCAAGCGTGCACAGCTGTCGTCCACAGGAAGTATCACTTGTGATGTGCAAGTAAAGAAGAGGCGCGAGAATTTTCGGAGTACGAGTCAGCGTCGATTGCCAGCGCGTTTTAACGATTATATCGTTCATGCAATAAAAAGTACCTGCAGTAACGGATACAAAGGACTACTAAAAAGGTAATGTCAAGATCCCGAAAAATCATGTGGAAGCACTACGATCTGAATATGCACGCAAGTGGTGTGAAGCAGAGTTAAATGAGCTTGAAACACTGAAAATGAAAGGATTGCTCGAGGAAATTTCGCTAAAGGATGTGCCACCTGCGACAAACATGTTGACGACGATGTGGGTTTATGCAGTAAAATCAAAAGAGCAACGAGAAGTGATTCGCTTAAAAGCACAATTTGTAACGGGGCACCCTGAAGCTTGTACTGGTGACAGTACAAGCTACTCATTCTGATGACAGAATAAGGCGGTGCCTCGTAACTTCACGTACGCTCGTACGTGCAGAGGAAGACAGGAAGAAGAAGCGAGTACTTGGTTAAAGTAAAAAGTAGAACTGTATTTATCATAGTTAATGTCTGTTAATAAACCACTTTTTATCCTCATCTAACTATGTCTAAATGCAAATGTGTATATCAACTATCTGCTCACCACTCATTGCGTGCGTCTATCGTGGCGCGTCTTCGTTGGTTGATATAATGACCTATATCAACCAATTAGGAACTACTCGTAAGTGCTACAGAATATTTGTCCTTATGATAATATTCTGAGAATATAACTCTTATAGTTATATTCTATTAACAATTTCTTATAAATTGTTATGTAACGATTCACCCCGTTACATCCACCCCTCCTTAACCATCGGTCACTTTAGTGACTGATTGACTAAATGGATACTCGTCCCGAATCATTTGGGACAGGGTTTGCACTTGTTGGTTCGAGTCCACTTTCCAACAATTCATCGCATGGTTAACAAGCCCATGCGATGCGCGAGCAAGGCCGCCGAGAGCGCGTCCGCACGTCTCTGTGCGGACGCCGAAGCAGAAACCACAGCAACTGATGTCTCATCGGTTGCTGAAGCGACTCAGCCTGTGTCACTTGGTGATACAGGCGCTGGTCATGAAGACACTCATGTCTTCACAGAGTACGAGCTCGGTGTCTCGTACTCTCCTGATACGGAAGACGGATCCGTATCGACGGCAATCAAATCTAAGCCGCCTGCCAAGCGTGGCATGGATGATGCTATGCGTCGTAGCATCTTTGGTTCATCTGATGAATCAGATGAACCATCGCCGAAGCGAAGGCGCTCGATATCGCAAGACTCGGGCGCTCGCAGTGGTGTCGGTTATCCTATTGACACCACTTCGCAACGAGGTGCCAGTCCTTCTGTCGGCACATGGCAGGAAGAGCGGGATCGCAATGTGTTGCGTCTCGCTCCTGAGAAGAAGGCATGGATGCCTCCTAAATTCGTCATGGATCACTTGTCGGCGACGACGAGTGATCGTTATCGAACACGGTTGTTCGATTCGTCAAGGATCCATCACCTTGACCCCAGCGCGAAAAACTATCGCGCTGAACATGAATTCTTCATCGATGTTTTCTTCAAACATCGATGGTACAGTGGGAATCACAAATGTGATGGTCCGTCACTGCTTCAAGCGTGGAACGCCTACATCCATAACCTCGAGGATGTAGGTCGTGAAGCTTGGAACGACAAACTTATCAAAGCTCGTGATAAGTTTGAAAAGCGAAACCCAACAGGTGCACGCTACAAGCTGCATCGTCTGTCAAGGGAGAAAGGATTACCCTTTCTTTCCTGGGGAGACTCGTGCCCATGTTGTGTGAACAACTCTGCACGAGCACCTAAGGAGGCTTACCTCCTTACCAGCCCGTGGTGGCGCGTACGTATCTCTACTGAGATGTACGAAGGGACTGACAACCTGAAATACCTTTACGACCGTGCCGGGAAGACTTTCGCCGGCGGTCCTTCTGCGGCACAGGATGTGCCGCATCGTACTGCTCAACCAGACCCAGTACGTCGATCATCAGTTGGGAGCGGGGCTCCCAAGTATCCCAGGACGGGGGATAGCCACGCCACCGGACGAGATAACTCGTCCGACGTCCGTTCACGTTGCGGTGGTTCAACAGCTGATCAGCTAGATAGCGCTGGCCACCGCGAGAGTCCTCTAATGGAGGTGGAGGAGGAGGAAAGACGCTCTCCACACGATCGTCGGGATCCGTGTGTTCCCGAGAGCTTTTCTTTGATCGCGTAACGCAAGGGTTACGCGGCGATCTCGAACATGAGCGGAATAGGCGTCTTCAACTGGCGGGCACTGCCTCGAAGCATCGAGCTGAGTTCGCCTTGCTCAGCTTGAGAACGAGAGAGCTCTGACATCTCTTCGTGACGATCTAAGGGTAGCTCGTGGGGATGTTGATCGGTCTCGGGATGAGATAGCTGCTCTTCAGACCCTTTTTGATGCCCACCATCGGGAGCACAAGGCTCTCTGCGAGATGCTTGAGCGCAAGGGCGTTCTTCATCGGAAGAAGCAGCGTACTGATGGTACGGCTTAAGCCGACCAACGTAAAACGTGGGATGCGTTCGCATCTTACGTGGTAACTCGATCGTGTATGCATTGCCTAGGCGGTGCAATACACGAAACGGGCCGATGTACTTGGGTAGATGTTTACAACTACCCAAGTTAGTCACTACATGTCGTGGTAGATTAACCGTAGACAGTAGGATTAATTCACCTTTATTAAATAAAAGAGTGTTTGCCATTTCATTCTTGTCAGCGTTTTGCTTTTGCTTATCCACCGCTTCGGCGATGGAGTCTTGCACAAAACAGACTACCGTTTCACGAGCCAGTATGAACTCATCTGCTGGCTCGTTAGCTTCAGTGCGCTGTGAGCGCACTGCAGCGACAACAATCTTTTCTTCAGTGAGGGCTTCCGCACTCTCACTGGCATCATCTTCTTCGATATCGATGTTGTCGATATCGGCATCAAACGCAATGACCTCATCGTCAGAGCGTGATGAGCGTGAGCCAATTCGGTTTTTGCTCGCGCGAGTCCCTCCCCCCCTTGAAACAGAGTCACACTCTAGCAAGGTGGGTACACGCGGATGGCGCAAGCCATTCACGTAAAACGGTGTATGTGTCGTGGACGCATGCACCGAGTTGTTGATGGCAAACTCTACCATCGGCAAAAACTCACTCCAACTCTTAAAGGAGTGTACGTATCCTCGAAGTATCTCTTCAAGGACACGATTGGCACGTTCCGTCTGACCATCTGACTCTGGATGATCAGATGTAGACATCTTCAAGCGCGTTCCGAGTGATTTGAACACGGAACGCCAGAAATCAGCAGTGAATCGTGGATCTCTGTCTGATACGAGTTCACGGGGCAACCCATGAAGTCGGAAGATGGTGTCAATAAAGACACAAGCACAGCCACTTGCCGTGATTGACTCTGGTACAGCCACTAGGTGTACCATTTTGCTGAATCTGTCAACAAAAACGAGAATACCCGTATTCCCGCGTGCGTCTTTGGGTAACCCGAAGACTAAATCCATTGAGATGGATTCCCAGCACTCAGCCGGAACCGGTAGAGGCTGTAAAGGTGCACGCAGTGAAGGACTTGACTTCACTCGTTGACAGACTTCGCATGCGCGAACATACTTTCGCACAAACTGATACTGGTGGGACCAGTAAAAGTCTCGACTCACCGTGAGATATGTTTTCTCACGGCCACGATGTCCTCTTATAGGATCATCGTGATACTCGAACATGATCCGCAAACGCAGATCAGTATCATCTGGAATGACAACACGTGGTGTGTCACCAGAAACGGCTGTATAATACAGTAACCCGTTGCGAGTAGTGCATCGATCTGATGCAGATCGATACGTAGACGACAATCATTTCAACGATTCTCGAGATGGCTGTGAGAGATGTGTCAACAACTTCACAATCTCACCATCTTGGGCATATGCCCGCCTCACATCATCATGCAACGTTGAAGATGGGACTGAGGACGTCATAACCGCAACAGTGGCTGTCTCACTGTTGGGTTTCACGACTGATTCAAAGTCGGGACGACGTGAGAGTGCATCAGCGTCGACATTAAGTCGTCCTGGTTTGTACTCGACCGTAAAGTTGTATTCTGCGAAGAATGACAACCACCGCGCCATTCGTTGTGAAAGGTGCGGGCTGTTCACTGCCGTGCGTAATGACGCATGGTCAGTGTAAACAATGAAGGGTCTATCTCCTAATAGATAGACTCTGAACTTCGCGAGTGCATACTTCATGGCAAGGAGTTCCTTGTCATGCACTGGATAGTTCCGCTCAGCTGGTTGAATCTGACGCGACTGATAGCAGACGACGCGTTTAACGCCTTCAAGATCGTACTGCATTAATGCACAGCATATTGCGAAATCGCTGGCATCACAGACCACATGAAATGGCCTGTCCTGATCGGCAGTCGCTAGGACTGGGGATTGTATCAAGCTCTGCTTGATACCCTCAAAGGAGCGCTGACATTCAGCGTTCCAACACCACCTCTCGTTCTTTTTCAACAAACGAGAGAGGTGCACAGTCATCTCGGCGTAATTGCGTGAATACTTATGCAAATACGCCGCTGGCCCAACGAATTTTCGAAGACCCTTGACGTCGACTGGCACAGGCCAGTCGGTGATCGCCTTGATCTTTTCGGGATCATGACGTACACCGTTCTTACCAACGATGCACCCAAGAAGTGGCATTTCGCTTGCTGCAAACATACACTTCTTGAGTTTTGCATACAATTGATGCTTTCGCATGATTGTAAGAACCTGTCGGACGTGGTATCTGTGAACCTCAACGTCCGACTTTCCATCCATAGCCCGACTATGGATGAAACGTCATCGAAATAACTCGGCGCGAATTCTCGTACCGGTCTCAACAGATGTGATACACATCTGTTGAACGTGGCAGGGGCATTACTAAGTCCTTGTGGCATTACTAGCCATTACCAAAGCATGCCGCTCGGATTGCTCACTGCGGTATAGGGTACATCCCGTTCCCGCATAAGGATTTGATAGAACCATCCATCAAATCCATGGACGAAAAGATGGTACTCTTTGACATACCATCTATGATTACGTCCTTCCTCGGTATCGGCGTCTGAGCCGGTACCGTTGCAGCATTCAACTTGTTGAATGCATGCACTATCCGCCACCCTCCTGTTGCTTTTCGCACACAGAAGGTCGGAGAGCTATGTGGGGAAGTTGATTCCCTCACATGGCCCGCAGCTAAACGATCGGCAAAGAACTTGTCGATCGCAAGTACTTGTTCACGAGGCAGTGGCCACTGCTTCATGACACAGTACTTCGAGCCTGGTTTAAGCTCGACCTCGTGTCGAATACCTTTATCCTTCGGTAATTCGCACGGAACAGTTTTAGGGAATTCATCCTTGAATTCAACCAAATCTTCATAGAGAGGATTTGTCTTGAGCGATTCCCACGATTGGGAGTCATATCTCTCAATTCGTGTCTTTTCATCTAGGACACTCTCGTCCATAGATGAACTACTGAGAACTCTCTCGTTCTCAGTAGACACTGTTGCTGACCTTATGTCGGTTACACACTCGTCGTCAGCGACGAGTACGCAGATCTGCTTGACTTTGCCACTACGCAGATCACGCAAGAACCTTTTGTGTTCGAGCGTTGGCAACTGAGTGATCTCCGAAGTCAACTTCGGAGGCGCAATCAGATCAAGTGTGTAAGCGCCTACACTTGATCCGTCATTGACCATGACATTCAATGTCTCTGTCATTTCCTAGGGACTTATTCCCTCGGGCCTCGAAGGACTTATTCCTTCGGCTTCCCGGGGACTTATTCCCGCGGGTTTCGGGGAACTTATTTCCGCCGTATTTGTAATCTTGGGACTTATTCCCTTTACTTCCTCTAGCTGGGGTTGCGCAACCACAGAGAGATCCTCTACGAAAGACTCTCCAGTCGATCTAGGATTATTGTTTCGCTTAACCTAAGCGATCGATTGTTTCTCTTCTAGATGTTCCCTGCTAGGGATACATCTTTGTCCCGGTCCACTCGACTTATTCGAGCGGTGGACCTTGGGCGCAGCCTGAGTTTCCTCTCAGCCGCCGGAACTTTGCTCCGAAGTGTATCCATTTGTTACACTAAGGTTTTTTGCAGTCGTACTAACGACCGTACCACAAGTGAGGCCATCGCACTCACTCGTAGTACATCCACACGCTTGTGGACACTCCAAAACGTTCATCAGATGGACATCTGAAGAACAAGCGGCAGGCATCGTTACTGTTCGATGTTGCCAGTTTACCCGTGGTTCGTACCTTCTGAGCCACAGTATTCCAAGAATGACATCAAATTTGTCATCCAAATCCAATACGATAAAGTCATCGTCATATTGGGTATCTTCTAGCGTATAGTGGATCTTCACTATACGCTTCATGACGGTTACGGATGCGCCTGTCGCAAGACGTACCGTCATCCTCGTAGAAGGTGTGTCACATTCACTGAACTTGAAGTGACCATCTTCTAGCGATTGGCGTCGCACAAAATTGTTGGACGCCCCACAATCGACTAGAGCTCGAAGGGACAACTCATTTGTCACTTCGAGTTTCAAGGTAATGAGTGAGATCTCATTACCTATAGCAGCAACGCACAACGTTTGTGTGTTGGGAGCAACCTTCATCAAGAGGCCTACAAATTCTCTTGACGTTGCTGGACCAGTAGGGTGCTCCGCACCTACTGATCCTGACCGTTTTTTGACGGTCCATCCCGTTGTTGCGTCTTTGCACCAACAGCGGACCCGCGTCCCTGCCCCTTTCTAATGGGTGGACGGTCACTACGCCCAGTGTTGCGAGACACTGGACGAGGGGCACTACACTCGTAAGCGTAGTGTCCTGTCTTCTGACATCTGTTGCATTTCTGCAACTTCTTGTAGTCTGTAGAGCGAGTCTTCTCGCTCTCTACATAACAGAGTTCCATCGGATCTGGACCTCCGCTGTCATATCGTCTCGGTTGACGATATGATGTCGAGCTGGCGCGAGCCTGTCTCAGACTGAAGTCTTTTCTGTTCCGCAATGGAAATGGCTTGTTCTAGTGAATCTAGTTCAAGCCGGAACAGGTGAGTCTTGACGGGACCATCCGCAAGACCCTGCATGAACACCGAAACCAACGTGTGTTCATCTACCGGATTGGAACTTATACAACTCGTGAGATGTCGTATATGTTGCGCGTAAGCGTGCACATCACGCTTACCCTGCTTGAGCTTCAAGAGTTCGGTTCGAGCTCTGAACTCAGCTCTAGGCGGTTCAAACGTTTGTCTGAGCCGCGACTTGAAGACTTCTAACGACCCAAACGCATATGGGTCGTGCAACTTGAGTCCCAGTGCCCAAGTCTTGGCACGTCCTGCCATATTGGATTGGGCAAGTGCAACTTGCATATCCCCGTCGTCGATGCGACGCGCCCTTATGGCGTCATCCAATTCGACAAACCATCTCAAGAGGGGGTCCTCTTCGACTCCCCTATACTTGGAGATGTCAATCTTCAAGGTCTCGGGTCGACGCGAGTGCATCGACCCACCAGCAGCAGCCTGCTGCTGTCTCAACAGTTCAAACTGTTGAGCACCCTGTTCTCTCAGCAACTCTGCTTGTTGAGAACCTTGTTGGTGAAGCAAGGCTACTTTCTCGCGTTCAGCGTCAAGTTCATTTTGAATGAACTTGTCGATAGTAGCATATTGGGCATCTCTATTGAGAGCCTCTACCATGACGCTAACAGCATGGATGCCCATGGTTGAACCCATCCATTCAACCGCATCCCATTCGACATTGCTCAAATGGGAGTAGCCGTCACGCTTAGCGTGAAAGCTTTGGTCATCTTCATCATTCAACATATTCATTTTGGATGTGAACGTGGTCCTTGGACGGACTACGAAGTACTACCAGGTGTAACGGGGCACCCTGGTACAAGCTACTTATTCCGATGACAGAATAAGGCGGTGCCTCGTAACTTCACGTACACTCGTACGTGCAGAGGAAGACGGTAAGAAGAAGCGAGTACTTGGTTAAAGTAAAAAGTAGAACTGTATTTATCATAGTTAATGTCTGCAATAAATCACTATTTATCTTCATCTAACTATGTCTGAATACAAATGTGTAAATCAGTTATCTGCTCACCACTCATTGCGTGCGTCTGTCGTGGCGCGTCTTCGTTGGTTGATATAATGGCCTATATCAACCAATTAGGAACTACTCGTAAGTGCTACAGAATATTTGTCCTTATGACAATATTCTGAGAATATAACTCTTATAGTTATATTCTATTAACAATTTCTTATAAATTGTTATGCAACGATTCACCCCGTTACACGCTGGACGTTAACGTACAAGTGCCAGTCATCCAGAAAACGCATTAGCTTATGCATCACTGCGTACGCAGATCTCTGATGCGTGAGTGCCAAGAGGAGTCTTACTACCTTTTCTCCTGCGTTGATGACTCAATTTGTCAGTGACACGCACGTCCGTTCTCCGAACTCACTGCAACAAACCAAACGAACCTGACAGCGCAGGGAAGTACAGCTATTGCAGAATGTAAACGTACCTCGCATGCTGCATTCATCCTGATGCTCAGGAGGACGACGACGTCCTCTTGTTTCAGAATGTGCTGCATATTCGGTGGTTTAGAAACGCATGGCTGTGTCGCTTCGACTGCGTCTTGTGGCACCGCGCTAAAATAGTACTCATACTGCCATGAAGTGCGTCACCTTCATCGTCCTTCGTACCTCTCGCCATATCCATCATGTCATTGCTGCCATTTTATACCGTTGCAAGTCTTTGATCTGGCCTAGTGTAGATGCTTTGTTAAAGCATTCAAGTTCCAGTCTCGTTGCCAATCCGAGTAGTGGGCTACGCCAATCGCGTGGTGTCCCCTTTTACTCGGCCTTTTCATTCCACCCGGTATATTCTAATTGACTGGAAGAAGCAGGAAAAGCGCGTATATTCTTGGGTAATATGCCACTGATGTGAACGGCCAATGCCTCAAACACGCCTAGAAACATCGTCGCCCAAGTCGCAGGCACGTGACTTGGGTCGAGTAGACTCATCAACCGACATAAATTGGTAGAAATGTTTTGCTGCATCCATGTCACGACTACTAACGTGTACAAACAGTCTCTTGCCTTGTACTTTTTGGACATTTGACGTGGAGCAGCCAGAAAATCAAAGCCCGGTGGTAGATGTGACCAGACTCGAATCCGCTGTAGATATGTACAACGTACCCTCAAAAGTAAGTCCTGTCGAGGCTACAGATCAGAGACACACTTTGTGGGTGAGGATAGACTTTTCGGATCGAAGCTACTCCTAGCGCATCTTCGACAACAATCGAGCAACCTTTGCGATTGAGAACTGGGACGACTAATTCCCTAACGCAGGCGATTCGAGTTGAGCCAACGAAACGACGTGAAAAGGCGAACCAACACATGCAAGAACGACAAAATGTATTTCGATTCTCCGTATATTGCAGTGCTTCTGTGTCGAGTTCGGCACCTCCATGTCAGTCGCATCTACTGATGCTGGCCATAATTGCATCTCCTTCTGGTCAGCTGGCCTCTCTGCAAGAGTGCAAAGCGGCGGGTTCGGACGGCGGCCCAGCTGGTTGCAAGTGCGACGAATCGTTGCCGTATGGTTGTAGCCTTTTATCACCAGGTCATTCACGACATTGTTTTGCAAGATTTGGTACAAGGGTGTCCGAAACAGTAAACAAGGTAGGTGTTATACTGACCAGGAGCAGTTGCCTCCTCGCCAGTAGTATACAAGTTATTGAGTCGCGAAGGTTACGGCCGTACACCCATGAACTGAAGGAGAAAGTGCTGCAGATTCCATTGCACGAAGTCGAGATTGGCTTCACTGATGTCATGAGCGAGGAAATCAGGGATGCAACCGCAGAGCGTGTATAGCTAGATACGGCTCGAATCAATGTACACGGCTCGAAATGAAGTTCGCAGTGACTTGTTGTTGCGCGTCTTCCACTGATAGAAATGGAAGTCCGCTGCTGAGACTTGAGAGCGACGGCCAATCGAGGTAGATCATTCAGTCGTAACGTATGCACATCAGATTCATGCAGGTCATTCAGTTGTTCATCGTATCTCAGTCGGCACGCCGAAATTTAGGGAACAAAGCTGGGAAGAAATTGATCAATCCGTACAACGACGATTACAGCTGTGTTAGATCCAAGCAATAGGTTTTCTTCTATCGCTAAAACGAAAACGCTGGAAGAGCGCACGCGACGCGGGTCTCTTGGCACCGAGACTGTAAACGGGTGAGCGAAAGCACGCGCTTGTCGAGTCTTGCGCAAGTTTTGAGTGGAAAGGTCATTCATTTTGCAGTTCAATGTGTGCTGATTTTGACCATCACTTGTGTCCCGCGTTGCAAAGTTTGCCCTTGTACGCATCAGCACCTGACGCAAAACAGCTTGGTACTAATACGCTTAGATCTGCAGGTCGCAAGCTGTCCCTTCTTCGACCCTCTCTCAATGTCTAAACGGCGTCGTCAACAGCGTATGCTGAGCTGAACACGCACGCACGCCGCCTGTCTCCTTCGGTAGACCTCGCCACACCATCGAGACCTCGCATGTCTCGCGCGGTCGCAGACTTTCGATCAGAAGGTTCACGTAACCTGCAGGTGTGCTTGATTTTTGCATCAGAGCATGGCCACGTTACATTCGCAAGGATCGAGGGTGATCTGCCTTAGGTGACACCACATCAACAAGGATCAGTTACCTAATTGAGAGGTCCGATTGTTTTGATTCACGATCTCAGCTATGTGCGAGGTCTCTGGACTAACGTGAGTTAACGCCGGGTCACCCTGGGGCTGATCGTGACTGGCTACAGTAGAAACGGTAACCCTCTAGATCCTTCGCGCTCCAAACGTGCTCGATGCATGCATAAAGCATGACGTCCTCGATTGTCGATTCTATTGTTCGATGCTCTCTTTACGCTATCGCCCCAAGCTGGCATGTGCAAATCAATGTTTTTGCCGGGTTGTGACCCGATACCTTTTCCGGGTTTGACAGGATGTGAGGCTGTCACGATGGTCGCCTCGTGTTCGCCTGGGCGCAGCGCTTTGCCGTACATCGGTTCTAGCGTTTCCGTAAAGCTGACTTGCGAAAGTCATGAGTGGTCGGGTGAAGACATTTTGTGATATCGGAAGGCGTGCTTTCCTGAGTGCTTTGCAAAGGAGCGACGTGAGGTTACGGCCTAGCCTAGCAATAGAAAGCTGTGAATCAGAGGGTGCGCCACGAAGACGAGACCATATTTCTAAAGATTGTGACCTATCGTTCGCCGTTTTCTGTGAGAACAGACGTGAGCTCAGGTGCTGATCCGTTCCAAATCAGTGCAATCCACGGTCGCCTAGGTGCAGAGTCACGAGCTGAATCGGGTCCTGCGCGCTTCCTGTTCGTCGGCCTTCAATGAGGTCCCTTGCCCTGTTTCGACTGTGCTGGCTCTAACCGGAATTAGGAGAAATGTCGCGCTGAAAGCCATTCGAAAGAAGTATGCAAGAGTCGACAAAAGGATTGGAGAGCTTACGGTCAAGGCTCTTTCAGATGTCGTCGGATAGCTGTGCGAGTGAAGCTTCTCGGTCACTTCGAAATTTGATCCCACACCCTCGTGAAAGACCACGACAACAACTGAAGATGCGTCTCACCACTTTCGCGCTCATGGCATCGACACCCGTAATCGTACGCAGCACGAACTCTACCAAAATACCCCGCCCTTTGCTGACGGCGTTCAACCTCTCGGCCAGTGTCCGTTTCCCTGACGGTCCTTACGGTAGCGTGCATGCCAAGCGGTTGCTGGAGGATCTCAAATCCACGCTAGGTGAAGAGCGAGCGAGCCCTCCCATTCCTACATCGATGGGAGTAAAGATGGCGAGTGCAGTTGGTACACTGGTGACTTCACTACACTCGTACGGTCAAAACACGGGCGGGCTTTCCAGTGGTTATCGTCAAAAAGCGAGGTCGTTCGAATTATATGCTATCATGGCATATCTCGAGACTCGCTTTCCTGCATTGGAATCCGGGCAACCCCGCGAAAAGGAGCGCCGAGAATATGAAATTCTTCAGCTCGCACTAGCGGATAATAACGTTGTGAAGAGCTCAAAGGATGGAAGGGACAAGATCATTTCCACTGTCCGAGAATACCTCTCCAGACGTCAGTGGACAGAGATAACCCCCGAATTGGCGCACGATCTAATGGAGAGGGTGCAATCGAAAGAGAATACTCCCGGTAAGATTTCCATGGAATATGGCATTGGGGGTGAGTCTACATGGGTTTCAAAAAATCGTATTGGGAACCCTTTCGCATCACCAAAGCTCGGGGCACTGGTGGGATATATCGGTGAATACAATAAGCAACACCATACGTCCTGGACATTGCTCGACGTATTTATCGCAGGCTACAGAGGCGAAGCAAAAGTCGCAGGTATGTTGTCGCTGGCACGGCTCAGCTGTATCTACGGTCGTGAAGCGCAGCAAATGGAAAAGGAGCTGTTTGAAATGTGGCTGAGAAAAGGATTGAAAATCGTTCAGGTTGTCAACATCCTATTGACACAGATTACAAATGACCGTCCGTGGCTATACATAGTGAAGGATCCCTTGAAGAGGTACATTTTGGCCTTCTCTCAGAAATATTCTGCACCGGAACAATGTACTGCCAAGATTCTGAACCTTTTAAAGACTGACGTATTTAGTTCCAAAGAGCTGTTGATCGAGGCGCAAGCGGCGGAAAGAGAGATCGAGGATTTCGTGTTAAAGGCAAAGAAAAGCGTCTCATGAATTCACCGTAAAACTGATTCCTGCTCGGTTTCAAGCGTAGGTACTGAGATGCAATAGGATACATCCGCGTAGTTGACAATATCCGATAATAATACATAGCTTCCATGGATCGACCTACATCCGCGTAGTTGACAATATCCGATAATAATACATAGCTTCCATGGATTCGACCTTCGTGCTAATGCAAAACTCCGTTATCTCCGGGAAACACGTAGAAAACAAACGTCGAATGAATGTGTAACGGGGTGAATCGTTACATAACAATTTATAAGAAATTGTTAATAGAATATAACTATAAGAGTTGTATTCTCAGAATATTGTCATAAGGACAAATACTCTGTAGCACTTACGAGTAGTTCCTAATTGGTTGATATAGGCCATTATATCAACCAACGAAGACGCGCCACGACAGACGCACGCAATGAGTGGTGAGCAGATAACTGATTTACACATTTGTATTCAGACATAGTTAGATGAAGATAAATAGTGATTTATTGCAGACATTAACTATGATAAATACAGTTCTACTTTTTACTTTAACCAAGTACTCGCTTCTTCTTACCGTCTTCCTCTGCACGTACGAGTGTACGTGAAGTTACGAGGCACCGCCTTATTCTGTCATCGGAATAAGTAGCTTGTACCAGGGTGCCCCGTTACACCTGGTAGCACTTCGTAGTCCATCCAAGGACCACGTTCACATCCAACATGAATATGTTGGATGATGAAGATGACCAAAGCTTTCACGCTACGCGTGACGGCTACTCCCATTTGAGCGATGTCGAATGGGATGCGGTTGAATGGATGGGTTCAACCATGGGCATCCATGCTGTTAGCGTCATGGTAGAGGCTCTCAATAGAGATGCCCAATATGCTACTATCGACAAGTTCATTCAAAATGAACTTGACGCTGAACGCGAGAAAGTAGCCTTGCTTCACCAACAAGGTTCTCAACAAGCAGAGTTACTGAGAGAACAGGGTGTTCAACAGTTTGAACTGTTGAGACTGCAGAAGGCTGCTGCTGGTGGGTCGATGCACTCGCGTCGACCCGAGACCTTGAAGATTGACATCTCCAAGTATAGGGGGGTCGAAGAGGACCCCCTCTTGAGATGGTTTGTCGAATTGGATGACGCCATAAGATCGCGTCGCATCGACGATGGGGATATGCAAGTTGCACTTGCCCAATCCAATATGGCAGGACGTGCCAAGACTTGGGCACTGGGACTCAAGTTGCACGACCCATACGCGTTTGGGTCGTTGGAAGTCTTCAAGTCGCGGCTCAGACAAACGTTTGAACCGCCTAGAGCTGAGTTCAGAGCTCGAACCGAACTCTTGAAACTCAAGCAGGGTAAGCGTGATGTGCACGCTTACGCGCAACATATACGACATCTCACGAGTTGTATAAGTTCCAATCCGGTAGATGAACACACGTTGGTTTCGGTGTTCATGCAGGGTCTTGCGGATGGTCCCGTCAAGACTCACCTGTTCCGGCTTGAACTAGATTCACTAGAACAAGCCATTTCCATTGCGGAACAGAAAAGACTTCAGTCTGAGACAGGCTCGCGCCAGCTCGACATCATATCGTCAACCGAGACGATATGACAGCGGAGGTCCAGATCCGATGGAACTCTGTTATGTAGAGAGCGAGAAGGCTCGCTCTACAGACTACAAGAAGTTGCAGAGATGCAACAGATGTCAGAAGACAGGACACTACGCTTACGAGTGTAGTGCCCCTCGTCCAGTGTCTCGCAACACTGGGCGTAGTGACCGTCCACCCATTAGAAAGGGGCAGGGACGCGGGTCCGCTGTTGGTGCAAAGACGCAACAACGGGATGGACCGTCAAAAAACGGTCAGGATCAGTAGGTGCGGAGCACCCTACTGGTAAAGCAACGTCAAGAGAATTTGTAGGCCTCTTGATGAAGGTTGCTCCCAACACACAAACGTTGTGCGTTGCTGCTCTGGGTAATGAGATCTCACTCATTACCTTGAAACTCGAAGTGACAAATGAGTTGTCCCTTCGAGCTCTAGTCGATTGTGGGGCGTCCAACAATTTTGTGCGACGCCAATCGCTAGAAGATGGTCACTTCAAGTTCAGTGAATGTGACACACCTTCTACGAGGATGACGGTACGTCTTGCGACAGGCGCATCCGTAACCGTCATGAAGCGTATAGTGAAGATCCACTATACGCTAGAAGATACCCAATATGACGATGACTTTATCGTATTGGATTTGGATGACAAATTTGATGTCATTCTTGGAATACTGTGGCTCAGAAGGTACGAACCACGGGTAAACTGGCAACATCGAACAGTAACGATGCCTGCGGCTTGTTCATCAGATGGCCATCTGATGAACCTTTTGGAGCGTCCATAAGCGTGTGGATGTACTACGAGTGAGTGCGATGGCCTCACTTGTGGTACGGTCGTTAGTACGACTGCACGAAACCTTAGTGTAACAAACAGTAACACTTCGGAGAAAAGTTACGGCGGCTGTGAGGAAACACAGGCTGCACCGAAGGTCCACCGCTCGAATAAGTCGAGTGGACCGGGACAAAGATGTATCCCTAGCGAGGAACATCTAGAAGAGAAACCCATGATCGCTCAGGTTAAGCAAAACGATAATCCTAGATCGACTGGAGAGTCTTTCGTAGAGGATCTCTCTGTGGTTGCGCAACCCCAGCTAGAGGAAGTTAAGGGAATGAGTCCCAAGATTACAAATACGGCGGAAATAAGTTCCCCGAAACCCGCGGGAATAAGTCCCCGGGAAGCCGAAGAAATAAGTCCTTCGAAGCCTGAGGGAATAAGTCCCCAGGAAATGACAGAGTCATTGAATGTCATAGTCAATAACGGATCAAGTGTAGGCGCTTATACACTTGATCTGATTGCGCCTCCAAAGTTGACTTCGGAGATCACTCAGTTGCCAACGCTCGAACACAAAAGGTTCTTGCGTGATCTGCGTAGTGGCAAAGTCAAGCAGATCTGCGTACTCGTCGCTGACGACGAGTGTGTAACCGACATAAGGTCAGCAACAGTGTTTATTGAGAACGAGAGAGTTCTCAGTAGTTCATCTATGGACGAGAGTGTCCTAGATGAAAAGACACGAATTGAGAGATATGACTCCCAATCGTGGGAATCGCTTAAAACAAATCCTCTCTATGAAGATTTGGTTGAATTCAAGGATGTATTCCCTAAAACTGTTCCGTGCGAATTACCGAAGGATAAAGGTATTCGACACGAGGTCGAGCTTAAACCAGGCTCGAAGTACTGTGTCATGAAGCAGTGGCCACTGCCTCGTGAACAAGTACTTGCGATCGACAAGTTCTTTGCCGATCTTTCAGCTGCGGGACATGTGAGGGAATCAACTTCCCCACATAGCTCTTCGACCTTCTGTGTACGAAAAGCAACAGGAGGGTGGCGGATAGTGCATGCATTCAACAAGTTGAATGCTGCAACGGTACCGGCTCAGACGCCGATACCGAGGAAGGACGTAATCATAGATGGTATGTCAAAGAGTACCATCTTTTCGTCCATGGATTTGATGGATGGCTTCTATCAAATCCTTACGCGAGATCGGGATGTACCCTATACCGCAGTGAGCAATCCTAGCGGCATGCTTTGGTAATGGCTAGTAATGCCACAAGGACTTAGTAATGCCCCTGCCACGTTCAACAGATGTGTATCACATCTGTTGAGACCGGTACGAGAATTCGCGCCGAGTCATTTCGATGACGAATTCATCCATAGTCAAGCTATGGATGGAAAGTCGGACGTTGAGGTTCACAGGTACCACGTCCGACAGGTTCTTACAATCATGCGAAAGCATCAATTGTATGCAAACCTCAAGAAATGTATATTTGCAGCAAGCGAAATACCACTTCTTGGGTGCATCGTTGGTAAGAACGGTGTACGTCCTGATCCCGAAAAGATCAAGGCGATCACCGACTGGTCTGTGTCGGTTGATGTCAAGGGTCTTCGAAAATTCGTTGGGCTAGCGGCGTATTTGCATAAGTATTCACGCAATTACGCCGAGATGACTGTGCACCTCTCTCGTTTGTTGAAAAAGAACGAGAGGTGGTGTTGGAACGCTGAATGTCAGCGCTCCTTTGAGGGTATCAAGAAGAGCTTATACAATCCCCAGTCCTAGCGACTGCCGATCAGGACAGGCCATTTCATGTGGTCTGTGATGCCAGCGATTTTGCAATCGGCTGTGCATTAATGCAGTACGATCTTGAAGGCGTTAAACGCGTCGTCTGCTATCAGTCGCGTCAGATTCAACCAGCTGAGCGGAACTATCCAGTGCATGACAAGGAACTCCTTGCCATGAAGTATGCACTCGCGAAGTTCAGAGTCTATCTATTAGGAGATAGACCCTTCATTGTTTACACCGACCATGCGTCATTACGCACGGCAGTGAACAGCCCGCACCTTTCACAACGAATGGCGCGGTGGTTGTCATTCTTCGCAGAATACAACTTTACGGTCGAGTACAAACTAGGACGACTTAATGTCGTCGCTGATGCACTCTCACTTCGTCCCGACTTTGAATCAGTCGTGAAACCCAACAGTGTGACAGTCACTGTTGCGGTTATGACGTCCTCAGTCCCATCTACAACGTTGCATGATGATGTGAGGCGGGCATCTGCCCAAGATGGTGAGATTGTGAAGTTGTTGACACATCTCTCACAGCCATCTCGAGAATCGTTGAAACGATTGTCGTCTGCGTATCGATCTGCATCAGATCGATACACTACTCGCAACGGTTTACTGTATTATACAGCCGTTTCTGGTGACACACCACGTGTTGTCATTCCAGATGATACTGATCTGCGTTTGCGGATCATGTTCGAGTATCACGATGCTCCTATAGGAGGACATCGTGGCCGGGAGAAAACATATCTCACGGTGAGTCGAGACTTTTACTGGCCCCACCAGTATCAGTTTGTGCGAAAGTATGTTCGCGCATGCGAAGTCTGTCAACGAGTGAAGTCAAGTCCTTCACTGCGTGCACCTTTACAGCCTCTACCGGTTCCGGCTGAGTGCTGGGAATCCATCTCAATGGATTTAGTCTTCGGGTTACCCAAAGACGCACGCGGGAATACGGGTATTCTCGTATTTGTTGACAGATTCAGCAAAATGGTACACCTTGTGGCTGTACCAGAGTCAATCACAGCAAGTGGCTGTGCTTGTGTCTTTATTGACACCATCTTCCGACTTCATGGGTTGCCCCGTGAACTCGTATCAGACAGAGATCCACGATTCACTGCTGATTTCTGGCGTTCCGTGTTCAAATCACTCGGAACGCGCTTGAAAATGTCTACATCTGATCATCCAGAGTCAGATGGTCAGACGGAACGTGCTAATCGTGTCCTAGAAGAGACACTTCGAGGATACGTACACTCCTTTAAGAGTTGGAGTGCGTTTTTGCCAATGGTAGAGTTTGCCATTAACAACTCGGTGCATGCGTCCACGACACATACACCGTTTTACGTGAACGGCTTACGCCATCCGCGTGTACCCACCTTGCTAGAGTGTGACTCTGGTTTAACGGGGGGGAGGGACTCGCGCGAGCAAAAACCGAATTGGCTCACGCTCATCACGCTCTGACGATGAGGTCATTGCGTTTGATGCCGATATCGATAACATCGATATTGAAGAAGATGATGCCAGTGAGAGTGCGGAAGCCCTCACTGAAGAAAAGGTTGATGTTGCTGCAGTGCGCTCACAGCGCACTGAAGCTAACGAGTCAGCAGATGAGTTCATACTGGCTCGTGAAACGGTAGTCCGTTTTGTGCTCGACTCCATCGCCGAAGCGGTGGATAAGCAAAGCAAAACGCTGACAAGAATGAAATGGCAAACACTATTTTATTTAATAAAGGTGACTTAGTCCTACTGTCTATGGTTAATCTACCACGACATGTAGTGACTAACTTGGGTAGTAGTAAACATCTACCCAAGTACATCGGCCCGTTTCGTGTATTGCACCGCCTAGGCAATGCATACACGATCGAGTTGCCACGTAAGATGCGAACGCATCCCACGTTTTACGTTGGTCGGCTTAAGCCGTACCATCAGTACGCTGCTTCTTCCGATGAAGAACGCCCTTGCGCTCAAGCATCTCGCAGAGAGCCTTGTGATCCCGATGGTGGGCATCAACAAGGGTCTGAAGAGCAGCTATCTCATCCCGAGACCGATCGACAATCCCACGAGCTACCCTTAGCACGCCACGAAGAGATTTCAGAGCTCTCTCGTTCTCAAGCTGAGCAAAGGCAAACTCAGCTCGATGCTTCGAGACAGTGTCCGCCATTTGGAGACGCCTGTCCCGCTCATGTTCGAGATCACCGCGCAACCCTTGCGTTACGCGATCAAAGAAGCTCTCGGGAACACACAAATCCCCACGATCGTGTGGAGAGCATTTTACCTCCTCCTCCACCTCCATTAGAGGACTCTCGCGGTGGCCAGCGCTATCTGTTTAGCAGCTGTTGAACCACCGCGACGTGAACGGACGTCGGACGAGTTATCTCGTCCGGTGGCGCGGCTATCCCCCGTCCTGGGATACTTGGGAGCCCCGCTCCCAACTGATGATCGACGTACTGGGTCTGGTTGAGCAGTACGATGCGGCACATCCTGTGCCGCAGAAGGACCGCCGGCGAAAGTCTTCCCGGCACGGTCGTAAAGGGATTTCAGGTTGTCAATACCTTCGTACATCTCACTAGAGATACGTACGCGCCACCACGGGCTAGTAAGGAAAGAGGCCTCCTTAGGTGCTCGTGCAGAGTTGTTCACACAACATGGGCACGAGTCTCCCCATTAGAGGCAGGGTAATCCTTTCTCCCTTGACAGACGATGCAGCTTATAGCGTGCACCTGTTGGGTTTCGCTTTTCAAACTTATCACGAGCTTTGATAAGTTTGTCGTTCCAAGCGTCACGACCTACATCCTCAAGGTTGTGGATGTAAGCGTTCCACGCTTGAAGCAGTGAGGGACCATCACGTTTGTGATTTCCACTGTACCATCGATGTTTGAAGAAAACATCGATGAAGAATTCATGTTCAGCGCGATAGTTTTTCGCACTGGGGTCAAGGTGATGGATCCTTGACGAATCGAACAATCGTGTTCGATAACGATCACTCGTCGTCGTCGACAAGTGATCCATGACGGATTTAGGAGGCATCCATGCCTTCTTTTCAGGAGCGAGACGCAACACATTGCGGTCCCGCTCTTCCTGCGACGTGCCGACAGAAGTCCTGGCACCTCGCTGTGAAGTGGTGTCCATAGGAGAACCGACACCACTGTTAGCGCCCGAGTCTCGCGACCTCGAGCGCCTTCGCTTCGCGGTGGTTCATCTGATTCATCAGATGAACCAAAGATGCTACGACGCATAGCATCATCCATGCCACGCTTGGCAGGCGGCTTTGATTCGATCGACGTCGATACGGATCCGTCTTCCGTATCAGGAGAGTATGAGACACCGAGCTCATACTCTGTGAAGACATGAGTGTCTTCATGACCAGCGCCTGTATCACCAAGTGACACAGGCTGAGTCGCTTCAGCAACCGATGAGACATCAGTTGCTGTGGTTTCTGCTTCGGCGTCCGCACAGAGACGTGCGGACGCGCTCTCAGCGGCCTTGCTCGCGCATCGCATGGGCTTGTTAACCATGCGTTGAAATGTTGGAAAGTGGACTCGGACCAACAAGTGCAAACCCTGTCCCAAATGATTTGGGACGAGTATCCATTTAGTCAATCAGTCACTAAAGTGACCGATGGTTAAGGGGGGGTGATGTAACGGGGTGAATCGTTACATCACAATTTATAAGAATGGTTCTTAGAATATAACTATAAGAGTTATATTCTCAGAATATTGTCATAAGGACAAATATTCTGTAGCACTTACGAGTAGTTCCTAATTGGTTGATATAGGCCATTATATCAACCAACGAAGACGCGCCACGACAGACGCACGCAGTGAGTGGTGAGCAGATAACTGATTTACACATTTGTGTTTAGACATAGTTAGATGAGGATAAAAAGTAGTTTAATAACAGACATTAACTATTATAAATACAGTTCTACTTTTTACTTTAACCAAGTACTCGCTTCTTCTTACCGTCTTCCTCTGCACGTACGAGTGTACGTGAAGTTACGAGGCACCGCCTTATTCTGTCATCAGAATAAGTAGCTTGTACTGTCACCAGTACAAGCTTCAGGGTGCCCCGTTACAGAATGCGTTGTGGCCCCAGACGCGTGTGTCGTCGGAACGTCAAAAAAACTCTGTGAGAATATTTTTAAGTTATGGGTATTTAGACAGGCGTCTTCTGGCACCGACTTGACCATTAAAGTCAAGCTTGCGTTACCATGCGTAGCTTACAGAAGCTAGCTACTGGGGACCGTCAGTACCGGTACGTGTATTCCGCGCCTAGACGTAATCAGAAGCATTGCTATAACTGTCAGCAGCCTGTAACGGGGTAGCCCGTTACTTGATATTGACACCAAACGGTGTCAATAAGGATATTGTCTAGCATGACAATATCCTACCAATATTACCCGAGATGGAGAATATTGAAAGAACATTCTCCCCTTTCAGGACAATAATCACGTGCTGCTCACAAATTGGTTGACAAAAGATAAATTAACTATGGATTACCACCAATCGCTGCTAGACGCGCGCAATCAGTTGTGAGCAGGTTGTCTTCACACGACGACGTAGTTTAATTTAGTTAGATATAGATTAGAGTTACATTGATAGCTTAAATATCTTAGATACGGTTCTCTTTTTACCCTTTATTCAACATAGTTGACAAGTAGACTAGCTTCCTCTGCACGTACGAGTGTACGTGAAGTTTCGCGGCACCACAAACAAAGGGTGACCCGTTACACCTGGTAGCACTTTGTAGTCCGTCCAACGACTACTTAGTGTCCGTCCAACATGAACATGTTCGACGTAGAAGACGACAGCTTCCACGTCACACGTGAAGGCTACTCCCACTGAATGACTCAGAATGGGAGGTAGTCGGTCGCATGAGTTTGCTCATGGGCGAACCCGCCATCAGTGGCATGTTGGAGTCTCTAAGCAGAGACCAGCAACATGCTGCCATCAACATACATGGGGAACTTGCTATGAAACACAGAAGATAGCTTTGCTTCACCAGCAAGGTTTGCATCAGTCGATGGGCGGGCCAACGCACATGCGTCGACCCGAAACCTTGAAGACTGATATCTCAAGGTACAAGGGAACCGATGAAGATTCCCTTTTAAGATGGTTCGTCGAGTTAGACGACGCCATCAGGACCCGTCACATCGAAAGTGACGAGATGCAAGTCACCTTCACCCTCTCAAATTTGACAGGACGAGCAAAGACTTGGGCCTTAGGGATCAAACTACATGATCTAAACGTGTTTGAGTCGTTAGATTTCTCGACGTCTCGGCTCAAAGAGACGTTTGAGCCGCCGAGAGACGAGTTCAAAGCACGCTCTGTACTCTTGAGGCTCAATCAAGGTAAGCGTGATGTGCAAGATTACGCACAACACCTACGCTAACTCGTGAGTAGCGATATGGAAAACCCGATTGGTGAGCACATGCTGAGCAAGGTTTTCATCTACGGCATCGTAGATGGGCTGGTGAAGATCCACATGTTCGAGAGAACTTTCATACGCTGGAAAAGGCGATAGCGTATGCGGAACAAGAGGAATTTCGCCTGAGACAGTCTTTAGGCTAACTAATCCAACTATCCTCTGACGAGACGACAGGAAACAGGATGTCCCGAACCAATATGCCTCTGTTACATTGAGAGCGAGAGCTCTTGCTCCCGAGCCGCAAGCTTTCAACAAGATGACATCGCTGTCAGAAGGATGAACACTACTCTAATGAGTGTGTAGCGTCCCAATCTCCGTATCACGTCCAAAGACAGGACATGATGACCCCCGTTGGCCGAGGAAAGGTCTAAGACGTGGGTCCGACCATGTCGCTAAGCCGCGACAGCAAGTTGGATCGTCAAATAACGGAAAGGGTCAGTAGGGGCGGAGCTCCCTACTGATCCAGCAACGTCAAGAAAATTTGCAGGGCTCTTGACGAATGTTTCTCTCAACACGCAGTCGCTGTGTGTTACTGCCCTTAGAGATGAGCTGTCCCTCATCACGTCAAGGTTCGAAGTGACAAGTGGAATCTGGTGGTGTGGTGATCGCTAATTCTTGAGAGGACCCGACTTTCCACTGGCGCCCGGACGACCGACTAACGGAGGGGGTACTCTTATTTCGTGTCTATGCTTTCATCACCTTGTATACCCGTAGGTAGGGCGGGTTGCACTCTTTGAGGTGGAATCGTGTCGAGGGAAAACTTGATCGTGTTGGAGATAGGTTTGTGTAATCGGGCGGAAATCTTCACGCGATCACTGGGGCATCATTGGGGTACTGATATAAGTTACCCTGATTTCAACAAGATCGCCTAGCCCACGGAGTGGGTTCTTGACACGCGAGCCCTCTGACCATACGAGCCGTCTCACGATCTTGTGCCTTGAATTTACGTTCTTTGATGCGTCGATCGCAGTTTCAGATACCTGAGAATTCTTGAACGCACCTAGCCATACAATCCAGGTGCGACACTTATATGAACGCGTAACGCGACTCTTTATTCGTCGGGAGGCCAGGAATCCTGCCCGGAAGAGATTGCGTGCGTCTTATGAAGTAAATTGTTTTCTCTTGAATGCTAACCAATCAGCCTATAACCTACCCCTCTGACTTAACCGTGGATCCTAAACGGATGCCACGCGTCTCTGTTTTAGGAAGATCGTCCTCTCGTATAGGTGTGGCCTACATCAGATGTATCGGCAGTCGAATCTTCTTGTGGTCCACCCGAGATATCACCACTAATCTACCTCGGATCGTGATCTTAGGTCCGGATCGTGATCCTAGGTCCAGATCGTGATCCCAGGTCCGGATCGTGATCTTAGGTCTGGATCGTGATCTTAGGTCCGGAACGCGGTACTAGGTTCGGATCGTGATCCTGGGTCCGGATCGTAATCTTAGGTCCGGATTGTGATCCCGAATCCGGATCGTGATCTTAGGTCCAGAACGCGGTCCAAGGTCCGGATCGTGATCCTAGGTCCGGATCGTGATCCTAAGCCAGGATCGTGATCTTCAGATCAGGGTTCACGGATACATTCTTGCCCTGTCTCACGATAAATCATGTGGTGGAGTGGCGATCGCTCATTTCCTGAGACGATCCCGACACTCCTTTGGCGCCCGGACGACCGAATAACGGAGGGGATACCCCGATTCCGTGTCCTGTATCTTCGTGCTCACCTTGTGTACCCGTGGGTGGGTAGGTTCACTTCTACCCGGGAAAGTTGAGCTGAAGCTGAACTTTACCGTCTTAGGGTAGGTGTTGATCGGGTGTAAATACTTCACCCGATCGAGGGTGGTGATATATCGCGTGAAAATTCTTCACTCAATGGCTCGTAACTTGAGCGCTCTCCCAGAGTCGCCTTTGCCAGGGGTGATGCTTGATACGCGAGCTTGACCACTTGAGCCGTCTCGCGATCTTGAATCTAAACTGTAAGGTTCAGTGCGTCCTATCGCAGTTGAAAGGGGGAATGAGAATTGACCTTCAGCCTGGCCTAACAATCCAAGGGCGAAGTTAACTTAAGACGTGGGTGACTCTCTATTCAACGAGAGGACAAAGATCCTGCCCGGGAGAAGTTGACGCGTGTATTTCGTTGCAAATTAAATTCTGTTTGATGTCAACTAACCAAACCTAAAACTTATGACTATGCCTATCTGTTCGCTAGGTCGGCTGTCTATGTCATTCACCTCTCACGTCCTGTGGTTCACAGCAGATAATCCATAGTTGATCTTCCTATACAGGATCGTACAGTACCGTATCGTAATGTACCGGATCGCGGAGTACCGGCTCGCGAAGTTCCGGATAGCGGAGTACCGGATAGCGGAGCACTGGATCGCGGTATGCGATCCACGGTGGGTACATATTCTACCTCGATCATCATGACACACTCTACTTGACCTTTACCTCTTCGTGACCGTTAAGTGGGTTACTCTGCATAATTTCCACAGTCATTTCCTGTCGCTCAGCCATGTGACACCATCATTCATGCCAACGGGCCCATCTCCACACGCGCTCCGCCAATCAAACTAATTCGAGTACTTAAGGCGAATCGCTCGATCCACACTTCCGTCATTCTTCCTTCGCGCTTCTCCACAATCGTTCCCTGCACCGACGCTCGATATACAGTGTCGATGGACGGTGCACCCACAACGTCCATGGCTCATGCATCACCTGCACTTTCCACATTGGAGGCCGATCGCCCGATTTCGCCTTCTGCTCCGCCGCCGGGTCCACCCGTTAGAAGTACAGTTGTGTTGCCGTCGTCTAGGGTTAGCGCTGCATCCTTGTCAAATTGTGATACTTTGAATGCGGGGATCGCAGCGCTCTAAGGTCAACCGTATCTTCATGCCGCGGTTGTTGCCGACTACCACTCGTTAAAAGGAGTTATTTAGGGACCAGAATTTGCAGATCGACCGACTGCAACCGCAGTTGCAATCGTACGTCGAGATAGCCCCGCGCTTGGTAACCTATGTCCAACAGCGGTATCTCGGCCTCTGGAAGGATCGCCAAGATATGATTGAGAGGTTG